TGAGACTAGAAAATGAAAGAGAAGGAGCTCTGCTTGAGTTTAGAATGAAAATAAACTCAGTCTTACTTTTGGGTTCACTATCACCTTCATGATCCCCCACCCTCCTTCAATCATGTTCATCTTCCTGTATCTCTCAGTGCCTGCTCCATATATTTATATCTTAGTCAATTAGCATTTTTGCCTTTGAGCTCAATAGTCCAGCTCTTTCACTAGTTAATGTGACATCAGTTGTCAAGCTTCTCTTCTGGTGAAGCTTTCGTTGATTTGTATTTCTATTGATAGCCCTGTCTTTTAGACACCATCAATCAATTACCTATCCCAATCATGCCTAGAGTGACATGGGATCTCAGATTTTGGAATAGCTTGAAACTTTAGATCTGTTCATTGTACTCGTTTCCAAATATTAATTCCTAGAATGCCTAGACCATCCAGGACTCAACATTACCCTATAGGTCTTCTTGGACTCTTAGCTATGGTTTTCCAATGTTGGTTTACCTTGCCTCTAACCAAGTCCTGGTTATATTTATGTTCTACTATAGATTTAATAACTCATGTTACTTATAGTTATCTTACATTTTTAAGCTTTTATCAAAGCTTTAATAATAATGAAGTTTTTTTTAAAACCATAATATTGTCCTATACATTTAAAATATTCACCTAGCAAGTATAGAGACTCTGATCAGAGTACAAATATTATTTGGGCACAATTGTAACTGTAACTAATGATGTATATACCTTTTTATTATTGGGTAACACACAGAAAATGGGGCTCAGTCAAAAAAAATAACATAAAACAGTCCCATTCTGTGAAAAAGAAAAAAAAGGAAAGAAAGAAGGGAAAGAGAAAAGAAAGAAAAGAAAGAAGATTAGAAGAAAAGGATGGAAGGAGACAAAGAAGGAAAAGAAAGAAGAAAGTGGAAGAAAAGACAAAGGAAGGAAGAATAGGAAAGAAGAAAAGGTAAGAGAAAGATGAACAGGACAGTGGGAGGACATGGCCAGGGAAGAGGTGGACGAACATGAAGTGGGGAAGGGAGGGATTGGGGAAAGGAGGAAAGAAAAGACAAAAATGAAAGAGAAAAGAAATAATAGAAGAGAAAAGGAGAGAAAAGAATAAAAAAAGGAAGAAAGAAGGGAGCAGGAAAGAAAAAGAAAATATATTAGCAAGGATTATTATTTTGTAGGATGCTATTAATAAATGTAATTCATGAGTACCTGAATGTGTATGTATATACATAAGTAGATGTATATACATGTATAAATACATATTTATAAATTTCTCAATGTATTTACATATTGCCTATATAAACACAGATATATCTCTCTCCACATATACACACACAGAGATTTTTGCATATAAATGTATATATTTTTCTATGTTTCCATATATATCACATAAGCATATATATTTTACCTCTATCTTCCATATGGATATATGTACCATTTATACATATATTTTCATATATATACATCATCCATGTCTATTTTTATATATCTACATATATCTTCCACTTATATATTCTACATATACTAAATCCCTTTACGTATACATGTATATGTGTATGCAGAATGGTATGGAAGAGGAAAGCCATGTAAAGAATAAAATGGTTGTATTGAGGTTGTAGATCAAGAGTAAATACAAACAAGTACAGAATAAGCCAGATCACGGAAGTATAATAAAAGCAAAGCAGTAAAGCAAATGTATATTGCACAGTGTGGAAGTTTGGTTCAGATGACCTCCAGAGTGTTTCCAGCTCTGAAATATTTACATGCCCTTATTTTATTCATACCATGTAATTTTCACATTTCCTAAAAAGTTGCATGCAAAATCACTCTATGAATTCTACGCAGTATCGCCAATAGCTATCCAAATGGATGTAGCATGCAAATGTTGATTATTAAAAATTCAAATATGTAACATTACATCTGATACCTCAACAACTATTGAGTACTTAATACATTTAACACATTGAACACTTAATATACATGCAATAGATATGCTAGAGTGACTATTTTCTTTATAGAATAATTAACAAATTACTTCTCAATTCTGATGACATTATATAAAATCATTACTTGCACAAATAGAGAAACAGTAATGTGCATAATTCAAAATAGTATAAATTCATAACATCAATTCATTTAATATTTATATTTAAAGCTATTTTAAATGCTTTCACTAGAATATTAATATACTCTTATTTTTAAAAAAATAATGAAACCATACTCTGAAAATATGTCCCCAAAAAAAACTGAACATTTTCCCATTATCCCTCTTTTGTCCCCTTACTCCATTCCACTCTGCTTGTCACTCGATTTCAGAAAGGAAGAACTATCAGCCTCTATGTCTTATTTCGATAAATAGATTAGTTTAAAGGTAATTAAGAATACTGATACATATAGAATTTCATAGGAAATGAATCAGGGAAGAAGAAAAAGAGAAATTTGTTCAGGGGCAAAATTTACTTTATAGACTTTCAATTACATTTTATAGTTCCTTCAATAATATCATATAAACCATGAGGTAATAATATTAATTATCACTATTAGCAGTTTTGAGAGAGCAAAGAAAAATACAAATAAAGGGAATTATGGGTATGATTATAGAGAATGGAAATACAAAATATCATAAATAATTACAATAAAATGGGAAATTTTTGGAAGGCACAGAATGCAGAATTATCTCCTTACAAGGATGATCCAACACTTGGGGTGTGAAAGGCAGTCTCTAAGATGGCCTCCAAAGATCCCTGCCTCCTGGTATTCATGCCTTTGTGTAATCGCTTGTCCTCGAGTGTGGAGTGGACTTACTGATTTCTAACAAATAGAATATGGCAGAAGTGATGGGATGTCACTTCTGGCATTAAGTTACAAAAGCCTCTGGGTTCCATTTTGAGACTTCTTTCTCACTCTCTCTAGGATCACTTACCCTAAAGGAAGCCAGCTGCCCTGTTGTGAGGCAACTCTGTGGAGAAGCCAGTGTGAGAAAGGGCTGAGACATAACAACAACCAACCACATGAGTAAGGGAACCAACCTGTCCTCCTATCCCCACCCTCCATCTGAGCCTTCATATGACAACACAGCCCTGGCCAACATCTTGACTGCAACATCATGAGAGAACTTGAGTCAGAGGCACTCACCAAAAGCTGTACCTGGAGTGCTGACACACAGATACTGTAAAATAACAAATGTACGCTGGTTTAACGCACTAGATTTTAGAGTACTTTATCATACAGCAACAGATACACAGAGGCAAACCTGTGTAGGGAGCTAATGGTCAGGAGTTCTGGGAGTCTGACTGTGTGGACCAAATCCAACCCAATTCCTGGTTGATACTCTTTGGTGGCAGATGTCTTCTGTATCTTAATATTGATGGAGATGATGGAATTGTTGTTCTCTGGGACTTTTAGGATGGGGACAATTATCACCCACCCCACCCTACTTCACCTTTTAGCCCCAGAAAACCATTTGCCAATCCTGTTCTATTATAATCCAGTTATAGTAAAGATTTCCTGTTTCCGTTATGAGTCTTGCTTTGTTTGGGATTGTCTATAATTCTCAAACTTACACTTTTTAAATTATTCAAACCCAAGTTATGTTTAAAATGTTATATAAAGATATACAACATCAGATGAGAGGTTAAATTAAATAAATTTGATAATGCATATTCTTTTAGTAAGAATAGGTTATATCAAGTAGTGCTGTAACAATATTTTTACATAAAAAGTCAGATTCTAGGCAATAATCCATGTTTTAACTTCATATTCAACTTCATAAAATTCAATACCAAAGAAGTATTTGTTTACCCCCTTGGCTTATATATTTAAAGTAATTTATATTTTTTATTCAAAATGAGATTTTATAAAAAATAATTTTCCTCTGGTCACAAAGATATTATAAATCAAAACAATATTTTTGTTAAAGCAAGATACTATCAACATAGCAAAAAGGAAACCCATAGAACAAGAAAAAATATTTGCAAGTCATATATCTGATATGGTATTAATATCCAGAATATATAGCGAACTCTTAAAAGTCAACAACAATAAAACCCAAACAATTCAAAAATGGGCAAAAGACTCGAATAGACATTTCTCCAAAGAAGATATACAAATGGCCAATAAACACATTAAAAGATGCTCAACATCACTAGCCGCTATGGGAAACAGTATGGTAGTTCCTCAAAAAATTACAAATAGAATTATCATGTGATCTGGCAATTCCAATTTTGGTTATATTTTCAAAAGAAATGAAAGCACAGTCTTGAAGAGATCTTATAGACCTACGTTCATAGTAGCATTATTCACAATAGCTAAAATGTGCAAACAGCCCAAGTATCCATCAACGGATAAACGGATAAGCAAAATGTGTTATGTACATACAATGGAGTATTATTCAGCCTTAAAAAGGAAGGAAATTCAGAAAATAGATAACCACTAAACTTGCATTTAACATGGATGAACTTCAAGAACATTATACCAAGTGAAATAAGCCATGTCAGGGGATGGGTGAAGGGGAAATGAAGAGTTGTTTAATGGGTATGAAGTTTCCATTTTTCAAGCTGAAAAGAGTTCTAGAGGCAGATAGTGGTGGTGATTGCACAAAAATATGAATGTATTTAATACCACTGAACTGTACACTTAAAAATGTTTAAGATAGTAAATTTTATGTTTGTATTTTACCATAATATAAAAATTGGGAAAAATAGCAAGAATAAAATTAATGACAGAATTCTTATATGGCTAATTAGTACCTGACATTGCTTCCTATGAATAGGTGGCAGAATTTCAGACTGAGGAAAAGAACGGGCACTCGTACAAGCTAGCCAGTTGGTAAGGTCTGTGGAGTACTCCTGCGTCACTCTGGGTCTTCGGTGTGTTAAAGGCTTTGCCTTCTGTAACCGCAGCTCCCATGGGTCAGGCTCTTTTCTGAATGGTGAATTGTATATACCTGGAATCTAAAGAAGAAGAAAGAAATTTTGATTTTTATCTTTAATTTTGTGAAACTAAAGGAAGACATGAAATAGAAGGAAGATAAAATTGTACCAGGAAATTTTTCATACATTT